TTTCAAAATTTGTATTAATGAAGGTGGAATTTATTTTTATATACTTGTAGTTTTGGGCCTATAAAAATCCGTGGATTTGGTAAAGTACCGTAGTTGTATTGCTCATTTTCTATATAATTTTTCAAAAAAGGTTTGCATATTTTTATGAAGTATCAGTTGTCATTCATCTTGATATCTGTCCTTACTTTGGAAAACCTGTTATCTTGTGCCTAGAATGTTAATCAGCTAATGCCTAACTTACGGTATTTGTCAAAATCATTTATTAAACATGTTTATTGAATGCAAAATTTCTGCAAATAACCATTTCAAGTCTTATTGAACTGTAGGAGTTATTTTAATAGTTTATAAGTCTTATTATTGCAATAATTAGTTAGCTCCCACTTGTGGTGTCATTAAGGAAAGAGAACGTAAATCTTGTATCAGACTTTGAATCTTCCTTATCAATAAGAGAGACTTGTATGAAATTATACTGTAAAGAGCCCATCTCCTCAACACTATAGAGTACCTTTGTAGGTCAGGTGATGGTGAAAAATCCCTCTCGGCCTTATATTCCCTTCTGGCTGGATTAGATGTCTCTAAAGTGTTGCACCTTTTACTCCCTGTGGCAAACTGATATACCTACATTGGCTGATGATGATTGGGAAGAGGGTATATAGCAATACTTGCCATTGATAATCTCCGCTCACAATAGATTCACTCAACTTAAGCTTCTGCATAGAGTCTATTAATCACCAATTCGTTTGTCCAAAATCTACGCCTCTAGGGACCCACTTTGTCCTAAATGCAACTCGGAACAGGGTGTATTTTTTCATATGGTGTGGGTGTGCCCATGAGTGCAGGAGTTCTGGAATGGAGTAATGGAGGATATTAACATGATTGGTAAATTGTGGATTGCAATCCAATTCATTTAATGTTAGGGATTTGTGACACTATAGAGGCCCCTCAATCTAAAAACCTCTTTGTCTTTTACATATCATTTTATGCTAGGAAGGTGCTTCTACTCCAATGGAAAAATCCCCATTCCCCAACCGTACATCAATGGAAGACCTTGGTCAATGCTGCTTTGCTCATGTATAAACTGACATATATGGGACAGAACTGCCCCAATAAGTTTCATAAGATATGGGCAGCTTGGGTGAAGGTGAGACAGCTATCTCTATAAAAGGTTACAGGTCTTCTGCTCTCCATACAGTATTCTCTACTGCCTATTGATTCGGAGTGGCCTACTCTACTGGTTTACAGGGGACTCATGCTTTCCCGTCCCTTCTTCATATCCCCCCCACCCCTTGTCATGTACCCCCCTCCTCTCCCTCTCTCCCCCTCCCTCTTTTACTGTCTTTCCCCTTCTTTAATCCCTTCTGCTACCGTCCCCCCTTCCTTTACCCCTCTTTTTTTGTCAGTTGCACTGTAACTTCTATGTGGGTCATTTCCCTAAGATTTTTTTTCCTGCTGACTAGGCGGAGGTGGAAATAGAATTGCTGTCCTCTTTCTGATTGTGGGAGAAGGTGCTGACTCAATGTACTTATATATTCTGCTCGATATGCAATGTGAACCTAGTATACCTTTGTATTTAAATACTTTATAAACATGTTTGTTTGCTGAAGATGTACCACTGTTATACTGTATATTATGTCTTATCAAACTTGAATAAAGTGTATTGTTAAAAAAGAGCTCATCTTCACAGTGCGGTGTTATGGGGTGTTCTTTAGGGTTGGTTACCAGCTTTTACGGTGGGTTGGGGGGGATTATGCAGGGGTGAGAGTTGCTCCTCAGCTCTCTCCGGAGGGCGGTTGGGTGTGTTTTTCTGGGGGGGTGGGGTTGACCCTTGGGGAGACTTGGGGGACAAGGGGGAGGGGGTGTTTTATAAGGTGGGGTCTCCGGTTGGGGGGGATTGGTCATCTTGTCATTCTTGTTGTCCTAGGGGACAGCGTGGCAGGGTTTGTCACATATCTGTGATGCATTGAATTTTTACTTACTATTTTTTTAATAGTTTATATAAAGAATAGCCTTATGGGTTTGTAGCCTATTTTCTTTTCTTTTAACATTTTGTTTTTGGGCAACACCCCACCAGATATTGTTGGTGGCACCTCTTAATATTTGTATTATATAGGTAGGCTCCCCATGCCATCCATTGTTTGTCTGTGCACAATTTATGTAGGCACCAACAAACCGAATGTGCCAGATTATTTTTCAGTTGCTGGAGGAAAATTAACTAACATGGGTAGAACCTACAGGTTGTGTCCTTGAGACATCAAAACCCAGGGTTTCAGCAAAGCAAACCTAGAGTTCTAAATAACTTACAATTATGCTGATTCATGAGCATCTTTAATGCACCCAACACAAATTCTTTAGCTTTGAATGCACACTAATCATCAGATAGTTTCATATAGGATTTTTTATAGCATTACCAGCTTTGATGATCCTTAAACAATTCACTTATGTTAGCATTCTAGGACAAGAAAGTGTGGAGAACAATTAGAGAGAGTTGCCTACAGATGACTACAGAATAACTTCCATTTATGTTGTAAGGCTTAAATAATCTTTCTAATATATTTCTTTTTCATATTTTAACTAAGCCCTAAGATCATATGGAAAAACAGCAAAATTGCCAGACTCCCAAAAGGTTACCAATGGATAACCATTGAAAATTTATGAAAAGAAATTAAAGATAATGAGTTTTTAATAAAAAAAAAGATGCCAAAGGACAAAAGATTGGTTTTAATTTGGAAGCTGTCCTCATTTGCTCCTGTGATATAACTTACTTAAAAAATGTATAGCATTTCAAGTCAATGGAAAATGAAATGAAAGAAACCCCGTCAGGGGTCAAAAGAAATAATCTGTGAAGAAAGTGGCATTATATATTGCTCAAAAAAATTAAAGAAACACTTTGAAAGCACATCAGATCTCAATGGGGAAAAATATCATGCTGGATATCTATACTGATATGGACTGGGTAATGTGTTAGGAGCGTAACGATGCCCCATTGTTTGATGGAAATGAAAATTAGCAACCTACAGAGAACTGAATTCAAAGACGCCCTGCAAATCAAAGTGAAAGAATGATGCAGCAGGCTATTCCATTTTGCTGAAATTTCATTGCAGCAACTCAAAATGGTACTCCATAGTTTGTATGGCCCCCACGTGCTTGTATTTATGCCTGACAATGTTGGGGACGTACTCCTAATGAGATGAGTGTCCTGGTGTATTTTCTCTAGATCTGGACCAGGGCATCACTGAGCTCCTGGACAGTCTAAGGTGCAACCTGGCAGTGTTGGATGGACTGAAACATGATATCCCAGAGGTGTTCTATTGGAGTTAGGTCAGGTGAGCGTGGGGGCCATTTAATGGTATCAATTCCTTCAACCTCTAGGAACTGCCTGCATACTCTTGCCACATGAGGCCGAGCATTGTCATGCACCAGGAGGAACCCAGGACCCACTGTACCAGCGTAGTGTCTGACAATGGGTCCAAGGATTTCATCCGGATACCTAATGGCAGTAAGGGTACCATTGTCTAGCCTGTAGAAGACTGTGCATCCCTCCATGGATATGCCTCCCCAGGCATCACTGACCCACCACCAAAATGGTCATGCTGAACAATGTTACAGGCAGCATAACGTTCCCCATGGCTTCTTCAGACCATTTCATGTCTGTCACATGTGCTCAGGGTGAACCTGCTTTCATCTGTAAAAAGCACAGGGCACTAGTGGTAGACCTGCTAATTCTGGTGTCCAATGGCAAATGCCAATCGAGCTCTATGGTGCCGGGCAGTGAGCACAGGGCTCACTAGAGGACGTTGGGCGCTCAGGCCACCCTCATGAAGTCTGTTTCTGATTGTTTGGTCAGAGACATTCACACCAGTTGCCTGCTGGAGGTAATTTTTTAGGGCTCTGGCAGTGCTCATCCTGTTCCTCAATACACAAAGGAGCAGATACAGGTCCTGCTGATGGGTAAGGACCTTCTATAGCCCTGTCCAGCTCTCCTAGAGTAAATGCCTGTCTCCTGGAATTTCCTCCATGCGCTTGAGGCTGTGCTTGGAGACACAGCAAACCTTCTGGCATTGGCATGTATTGATGTGCCATCCTGGAGGAGTTGGGCTGCCTGTGCAACTTCTGTACGGTCCAGGTAGTGGCTCATTTTACCAGTAACGACACTGACCCTAGCCAAATTGAAAACTGTCAGAAAAGATGAGTAGGGAAAAAATGTCAGTGATCTGCACCTGTAAAACCATTCCTGTTTTGGGGGTTGTTTCATTGTTGCCCATCTAGTGCACCTGTTGTTAATTTCATTAACACCAAAGCAGCTGAAACTGATTAACAACCCCATATGCTACTTAACTGACCAGATCAATATCCCAGGAGTTTAATTTTCTTGATGTTATACTCTGATTAAAAAGTGTTCCTTTAATTTTTTTGAGCAGTGTACTGTGAAGAAAAGCAGGCACTGATCCTTTTCAATTCCTCAGGCTTACCACTGTGGTTTCCCTTCTGACAATAGTTATGTAAGGGTTCATTCTACTGACCACAAGTCACTGCAGAAAACAATAGTGATGTAAGGATTCGGTAGGAGGAACCACATCAGCCACAGGAGGACATGCTAATCTATACATCCAGAAGTGTAGTATGGGATTACTGTTCAGAGCTCTGCTGCACAGCAAGGTTTCCAAAAGCAGGTGATGGACAGGTAAATATATTATTTTTTTACAGGTTAATTCTTTTGGCATGTTTTAAACCATTGTCAGAGCAAGAGACTTGTTAGTCGAAATGTCAGTAAGAGATTAGCCTTAAATACTACAGTATATACAGATAATAATACTAGTAGAAGAATCATTTACTCACTTAAAATTAAAGACACCATGTTACCAGTGGATGTCGATGAGCAAGGGGTTTGCTAGGGGAGGTACCGTATTTTTCGCTCCATAAGACGCACCTGACCATAAGACGCACCTAGGTTTTAGAGGCAGAAAACAGGAAAAAAAATTCTGAACTAATGGACTGCAGACATAGTACAGGAGATGACCAGAGACTGTGGACAGCACAGTGATGACCAGAGACTGCGGACAGTACAGGGATGACCAGAGACTGTGGACAGTATAGGAGATGACTGCTGACCTGTGGGGAGGGGGGGGGGGGGGGATACCTGAATTTGACAGGTACCCGCTCTTACTTCCGCAGAGTTGTTCTTTGATCTTACCTGTTCCTCTATCCAGCCGTGCGCTGTCTTCCCGGCTTCTGTAGTGTCGGCGCTCAGCATGACAGCCGGGCCCAGTGCGCATGAGCGAGAAGCACTTGCGCTTTGTGATTGGACCGGTGGCTTCTGGGATCTGTCATGTGTCCCAGGTACCGCCTTACCATTCACAAAAAGCACCGCTTCTTGCGCATGCGCACTTGGCACCTGTCAAGCCCAGCGCCCACACTACAGAAGCCGGGAAGACAGCGCGCCGCTGGATAGCGGAACAGGTAAGGTCAAAGAACAACTCCACGGAAGTAAGAGCGGGTAACTGTCAAATTCAGGTACCCGCTCCCCACCTCCCAAAGGTCAGCAGTCATCTCCATAAGGTCCCGCTGCAGAGCTGAGCGACCGGCCCGGTATTCTGACATGGCGGCGGTGGAAATACCGGACCGGCCGCTCCATATTTCCTCCATAAGACGCACTAACATTTTCCCCCCTTTTTTTGGGGGAAAAAAGTGCGTCTTATGGAGCGAAAAAATACGGTAACTCTTCTGAAGCAGTGAGAGACAAATTGCACGTGGATAATCATTTTTTATAAAAAGGAAAAAGCTGAAGGTAGGCATTTAATGTATTTGATTTTTCAGTGATATTCCCTTAAATTAGTGACAGGGTCTTCTGAAAGGAAAAAGACAACCTACCTGTATGGTTTAGATTCAGGCTTTCTTTCTTACTTTCAAGTGTATGTTCAAGGCAAAACAAACTCAACTGCTGCAAATAGGCCCTCTTCTTCCTCCTTCTTTTCTGCAAATCCCATCACAGACCTGCAAGCTGGAATGGAAATGTTGGCAAAACCATTTCAGAACACAATGAGTCACTTACTGCTGACACTTGCTACAAACATGGATGAGGAAGAGGGTACTAGGAACATAGAGAGAGGTGACATCAGGCAGGGAGCAGCAAGAAGCAGTGCTGTTCCTGCAGTGATGGTGAATGGGGATGGTGAGGTGGCAAACCATACTTTGGGGGCCAGAGGCTGAAGAGGAGGAAAGTGAGGTAGAGGCAGAAGAGCAGAGAAGAGCAGGGACAGCTTGCAGGGTAAAAAGGCATCAACCCTAACAAACCAAACGTCACTGCCACATGGCTACAGGCCACTACTATCCCCAAGGTCTACCTAGCTCTACAGTTTGGCCTTTTCTTCACATATCTTATGTAATTTTTGTCTGAATCCTCTTTCAGTGGAGCAAAGGCTGTAGTAAAACAACCATTTGGCCAAATGGCAAGCCAAAGCTTGCTGGAAGTAGCATCACAAAGATACTAGTCAGCAACAAAAGACCAGCAAAACTCTTATATCTCCTTGTTCCTCTCTCTCCATTTCTTCCTAGCTCTGGGAGATTCAGCATATTCTGCAACACCCGAGGTCTCTACAGATAGGTAAACAAAGTCTCCTAAAGGGTTTCAAAGGATAACCTTACACAGCATAAAGCAGGGAAGAGGATCTGCATGGAGATGCATAAGCTTGAATGTTGCCATAAGCCTCCAACACCCAACCCGCCATCTCCAGAAGCCTCTTACCAGACTGGCATCTTTTTCACACCTGCTGAATCAAAAGAAAAAAGTCCCTTAGTTACTTCCAGCCTTATTAATCCCATTCCAGCTTGAAGAGTCAACACCCTTCCTCAAGTATTTGACCTGTGCTAGACCACATTGGCAGGTACCATTGCCATTATTGTGTCTAGAAATTCATCCCTGTCTTCCACCAGCATATGGAGGGAAATGTATGTGATACTGGACTACTTAACAGCCACATATTCACAGACATGTGGTTGATTGTTTATAATCCATGGTGTCAATTTCCAGGCAGCTGGGAAGGACAGAGGACAGAGCACACTGTTGGAGTTGATGGCGCTGTACTGTGTTTTCTACCTGTGCAATCACCAGTTTTCCTCAATTGCCACAGAGTGTTTGCAATGGCCCAGACAAAACACTGTCATGCTGTCTTGTATTTGATATGTAATGGGGTCAGAAGCCTAATTCAGACAGAGATAAATACAGCTTTCCAAAGCTAGTCCAAGAGGTGACTTACCCCACTCCATCTTGTTCAAGGCAAGGTTGTGTGTAACAATGACAACAACCTGTTGGCTGCCTTTTGGCATGGAACATTGACACACATACCTTGCGTAGCACATCCTCAACCTGGCGATGCAGTGATTCCTTGTTAGATACCTTAGTTGTTTTTGCTGCTTTTTAGTAGTGTACACACTTCAAGTTTATTGTGTCTGTATAAAAAAATAGCAGGAATATCCAGTACGTCATTACTTTGAAAAAACACAAGTCACACATATTACTGAAGGCAATTAATTAACAGTGCATAAATTGAAAATAAAACTTACAACTTGACAAGAGCACAGCTAGTAGTTCATTAATACATGGACAGCAAAGGCTAATTAATAACAATGTAAAAAAAAAAACCTTCAGCACACTGAAGGAGATATAATTTTTTTTCGCAGCTGCTAAGTTAATTGTAATAAATATTTTCACAATTTATGTACAGAAGTATGTTTTTTCTTACTGTCTGATTGTTGCTAAAGGTGATCTTACATGCCAAAGCAGTTGATGTTACTTGTGTTCTTTATTTACACAGTGTGAATGAAATATAAAGGGTGACACACATTGACTGCCTGCTGATATAATGACTGTCAGAGCAGAATTTCACAACCAATGTGTTTGATGCTTACTGTTCTGAAGTTATTGTAGGAAAATCAGTAATCTGTGTGTAGCACCCTTCTGGTAAAGGATGCTTGGAAAATGTAGTTTTTGCCATACTCTGTAATCAGAGCAGCAGTGATCATTCGCCTTGGTTTGATCATGGTTTCACAGGCTGGGAGATTTATTGTTTAACCCTGTCTCTGGGAGGAGCTTCCAGAGCTTAGGATGTGTAATTCAAATAACTAGCCTGAATTTTTGCTGTGCCTTGGCCAGTCTCTGGGTGAAGGTGGTCAGGGAGGTTGTAAATAGCTTTAAGCCCATGAGGGATGTATCTGTGAGCTTCTTGCCCCTGAAGCACCTCTGGACTGAATGCTGGATTTCTCTACCAAGGGACCGAGTTTGAAGAGGTAGCTGCACTAGGACTTGTGAGTAGAGACTTGTGAGTAGAGACCCAGACTGACTCACTGAAATAGCGTAGCCAGAGAGACATCCCTCATGGCCCCTGCTATAAGACTTTAACTATTCTGGAGTTATCTCATGGTCTCAGCTATGAGACTTTAACTATTATAGAGCTATCTCATGAGATTTTATCTATTCTGAAATATCCCATGGTTCACAGTTGTGAGAGCTAGACTGTGCTACCTTTTCCAAGAGAAGAATGCCCTCTGCTAATTGCTCTTAAGTGTTTTTTGAGTATCCCATGCTCCCTCACCCCACTTCTGTTAAATTTCTTCAACAACAAAACTTAAAAAGACATCCCCTAGACTGTTTATTGGAATTGGAGTGATTGGACTGTTGTTTGTGTGACTGGTGGCCACTGTACTACATAGGAAGAATGCATTAAATTCTCAGTGGCTCCTTCAGGGGTAGTGCTACATGTGGGAAGCAATAGAAAAATATACTAAAGCTGAAGTCTCACCAAACAGCTAAATACACAGAAATGGGAACTGTTTTACCTGCCAAAGTATTTGAATTTGTGTTAATCTGAGACACTGCTTTGTCACACAACAAATGCCTGTCAAAGAAGGCAGAATACCTAATTGTTCTATCCTGCAGTTAAGTGATGCTTACAGGTCTTCTGCCCTTCTCCAGTCTGTGTCTGTGATTGGACAGTGAAAAGAAAAGCATCACACAAATGATTCAGCAGTAAGTGGATGGGACAGCTTTTCTTGCAGACAGTGATAGTGCTGGTAGCTCACAGTTATAAATCTGCTGATGATTAGCACACTGTTTTCCTAATAAACATTCTTAAAAACCATAATGAGCTGAAAAAATGATTTTTTTTCAGGGGGTAGGAGTAGAAATGTAACAGCTTGCCCATGTTTGTGTTTATTCAGTACAAGTCAGTAAATACATTTTAACCCTTTGAGGACCAAGGGACGTATTCGTCATGTCCCATGTTTTTTAATTGCCTGTATCATCTGATTAAGAACTTAAAATACTTTTTTTTTTTTTTTTGGTTTGAGTCAAAATATTAGTTCTTATCAACAAATGGATCTAGCTTTTTGCCAATTATTTCATGAAATGGCTTAGTTACAGCAGTTACAGCAACTGAAGTGTACGAACTTTAAAAACAAAAAATTGAATATTTTGGCGTTTTCAAATATACCTGGACATCATTATTTATGAATACTCTAGAAGTGAAAAAAAAGTGTCAAATACCCAACATGATACAACCCAAATAACACAAAATAATAAAATATTTTCCAACCTGCCTGATTGCTTCCTTTTTAGTCTGACTTCAGACATGATTACATTTCTCACAGATATACAGTTGTGTTCAAAATAATAGCAGTGTGTTGAAAAAAGTGAATATTTCCATACACACAAATGCATTGGGAACACTACACATTCTATTCCAAATCAAAACATGAAGAAAAATATCAAATTTGTGTTGTCCTCCTCTATAAAAATTGAAGAAAAGTGAATATTAGACTGTTCAAAAAAAAAATAACAGTGTTTGTATTCTTCTTTACAGACTCAGACATTCACTATATAAACTGAAAAATGTTTGAAGATTTTGCTTTCCTTTGAATCACTTTATGTTTAGTTGTATAAGCACTGTTTCTGAGAACTGCTGTACATCTGTGTTGCATGGAGTCACCCAACTTCTGGCACCTGTGAACAGGTATTCCAGCCCAGGATGATTGGACTACATTCCACAGTACTTCTCTATTTCTTGGTTTTGCGTCAGAAGCTGCATTTTTGATGTCACCCCACAAGTT